CCGGCCTGCCCCCGGCCTGCTTTGCATACGCAAATGTTGGCCTTAGTTTTAATGCCGTGGGGTGCGCGCGGCGCGGGGAGGGTAAAAGCGTTCGCCGCTGCCGGTGCTCGAACCCGCGGCCGGCGACGCTGCTGGCCGTCAGTTCGAACGCCTTACCCCCGACCCCTTCTTCCTTTCCCCCCACATCTCTGCCCCCCCCCCCTCTCCCCTACTTTATTTTACGGGATCTTCTGGCGCGCGTGGGAGAGGGAGCGACGCGGGCGGGGCGGCGGCAGCAGCGGCTCCTCGCGGGACACTGTTCGAAGTTTGTATCCTCGGCTCGATCATGCCGTATCGAGCCTCGTGCTGGTTCATTTTCCTGCACCCGCTCGCCTCCTGCAACCTTTTATTCCATGACGCTCTGAAGGGTGGGGGGCGAACGATCGCATTCTTGTTTAAAATAAATTTTTATCGACGTTAGGGGATTCCGTTGTCGCGCGAGAAAGGTCGCAATGCTTTCCTTTCATTGAAAAAGAATTAATGGTGTGTGTGTGTGAGTGCCTTGTTCGGCGGGCTGAGCTAGGTTGGTAGGATCTCTCCCCCTCCCCCTTCTCTCTCGGGGCAGGGCAGCATTATCGGCTGAAATGAAGGCAAACTGGTTTTGGGTGCCGCTGCCTGGCCGGCCCGGCCCCTCGCCTCAGCTCGACTCCGCTCTGCTCGACGGGGTTCCCGCGTTGGCCGCGCGCTCGCCTCGAAAACGAGCTCCTGGCTGCGGCGGCGGCCTGGCGTTGCGTGGCTGACCCGCGGAGGGGGTTTTTACTTGGGTTTCGCTCTGCTGTAAACCTGCTTCCTGCGCCCCTGGAGGCCGCCGGGCTGTAGCAACACTCCGCAGCGGGGGCTCGCGATGTTTGCTGCTGATCACAAATGCCTGGCGGTTGACACAGCTGTCTATGTCTGCGCAAGCTCAGGTGCCGGGCCGGGCACTCGAGGTGCGGATCGGGTAATCGGTCAGGAGGCGCCGGGTTTGAGAGGCTCGGCTTCTACTCCCGGCGGAGGCGGCCTCGCGTATAGAAAAGGATAAAAGCAAAGTGAAGGGCACGAGCGAGGGGCGGCGGCGGCGGTAGCATAGCACCTGCCTCTGGAGAGGGGGGAGGGAGGCGAGCGGGCAGGTGCACTGCCTCAGTTATCCAGGGGCCGGAGGGACTCGGAAGCCCCTCAGCATCGGGTGGCAGGGCAGGACCGTCTTGGGGCAGTCTCTAAGATTCGGGATGGCTATAGATGGATGAAAAATATCCGAGTCGTTGTGCGCCGGGTCTTGGAAGGATCCCTTTTTCTGCAGCCGTCCGGCTGGCGCGGCCGAGCGGATCTAACGAGTTCTGCGAACCCGCAAGGGGGGAGGGGGGGGGGGCAGTGGCGACTCTCCAGTCGCTGCTAGATCGACAGTGACTCAATGCTACTCGCGGTTCGCGGCGCGGTGTGGAGAGAACAACCGGGTGGGGTGGGGCGCTTTGCCTTGTCTCAAAACGAAATGGTGCGGGTGTTAGGATGGTGGGCGCACGTACACTGCTAGCTCGGCGCTGCGGGGCGGGGCGCCGAGCCGCCTGCTTCTATTTGCAGACAAGTATCGACCACGCCGCTCCGCTCGCGCGCCGCCCGGCCGCGCCGGCCGGCCGACCTGCGGGTATGCGCCGCGTTTGAACCCGCGAGACTTGCGGAGGGGAAGAAGAAAATAGGGGCGGGTGCGGTGGTTGTGGATGTAGCTGGAGCGTTGGGAGCTCCTCCGCGGAGAGAAAGGGGGGGGGGGGGTACCCGGGGCCTGCCCGCCGGGCGGCCTGTTCCGACCAAGCGCTGCTTGACCTTGGTGTGTCGTTGCACCATGGACCGGCGGGGAGTGGCGGGGCGGGGAGGCCGTGTGGCTCTCACGCACCGGGCCGGGCCCCGCGGTGAGCCTCGCGGTGAGCGGGCTGCGGGCGCGAAGGGGCCGCTGCCCTAATCTCAAGGGGCCGGGGTGAGCTGGGCAGCGTCTGTGTTCCGGGCTAGGAGGGGGCGGATGGGGCAGCGCCGCAGCGCCCACCCACCCCCTGCTCCCTGGCGCGCGGCGGGTGTCGAGGGCGGGAACCTTGAAAACGTTCCCCGGGGATGCGGGGACCACCGGGCGCGGCGGGTATGCCGCCCTCCTCGCCCTCAGCGACGCCTTGCGGTGCACCTGCCCTCCCTTGCTCCCCTCTCAATTTCTCTCGTTTCCAAACCGCAATTGAAGGGAGGGAAGGAGCCGATTAAGGGAGACTTTTCTCTCCTCCCGAGCGGGCTGGGTAAAGGGGGCCGTGGGTTGCGGGGCGCGCCACTCAAGCACGTGTGAGAATTTGGCGCCTACGGAGCGTTGCGTTCCGCTTGGGCTGAGAGCGGCTCGCTGCTCGCTTCTCCCCACCTCGGCGCGACTCGGACCAGCATCACGCCCGGATACGTTTTATAATTTATTTAGTTTTTGTCCGAATTTACATCAATTTTTCAAAGAACATGATTGCAGCCTTGGCTGGTTAGAATTTTTTTGGGTGGTCGTTTCCGTTGGCTCCGCGCCGAGAGCAAGTTTTCTCCCTTGTCGGGCTACCCTCCTCTCTCCCCTCTCTGATTTTCCTGGAAACTGTTAAGATTTTCCCACGACCTGGCAACGCTGGGCCGCAGTTCGGGCGCTGGGCGGGCGGGTGGGAGAGGAGTCCGGGTGGCAGTTTGGAGGGAAGGGAGGCGGGGCGCGGCAGCGGCGGCTTTGTTTTTCCCGAAGCGAGCGGGGCGCCCTTCCCGCCTCCGCCCCCAACTTGTTTGATAACCTAGAGCGGCAATCGGACAAGACAGCCCCTGACTGTGCTTCTGCGCCCAGCCCAGCCTGGCTGGCAGCGCCACCCAGAGCAAACCCAGCAGTCGTCGGGTCGGACCACGATTTTGCGTTGCTTCCGTTTCGATTTTCCCCTTCCCGCCCTGCCCCTGGCCGCACCACCGCACCCCGTCAGCACTTTCTGAATGTTGGTGGCTCGGTGCCGATGATTCCCTCGGCTCCGCGTCGGCCTGCTGCCACCGCTGCGGCGCGCTGGAGAGGAGAGCCGTATATTCTGGAGTTTTTTCTTCTTTGCGGTGTAATCAAACTCTGTAATGAGCTGACGCGGGGCCGCTCGCGGAGCCAGGCCGCGGAAGGCGAGGCTCCGAGGGCCGCGTGAGTCCGCGGTTGGGAGTGGAGAGGATTGGGGGGAGAGGGGGGGGGGGCGCCCGGCCCGGATTCGCGCGTTTCCCAAGGGCCGGGCCGCGCCACGCCTCGCCGCTTGTAGATGTGGGGTTCTCTATGAAAAATCGATGGCTGAGAGGGGAGGGGAGCGGCTATAGGGCTGGCGAAGGCGGCCAGGGCATGCGCGGGGCGGCGGGGGCGCAAGGCGAGGCGGCCCTCCCCCTTCTCTTTCTACGTTCTGTCTCTCTCGGCAGGACCACTCTCATTTCGGGCTTATTCCCCATTCCAAAGTCCCTCCCCCCCTCCTCCTGCTAGGCTTCATTCCCTCTAGCGCGGCGCGCTCGGTAGAGCCAGGCGCCCGGACTCCAGCCCCCCCCCCCTTTCCCTGTTTTCCCCCTTTCCCTCCTCTCAACTACCCCCGTGCGACACGGAGATGGTGCCTTGGCTCGCGGACAAGCCGACAACAGGATTGAACGATTGTAGTCAATCTCATAAATTGTCGCCTGCCGGTCAGTTTTCAGGAATAGTACCAGAGGGTTGGCGGTCGGTTTTTCGGGGGGGGGGGGGGGTGTTCCTCCTTTCGCCCGGCTTGACACTATCGACGCCGCGCCTCGCGCCCGCTCGGCGCACCTCGCGCCACAGACCGCTTATTTTCTTTTTCAATGAGTTGCCCGCCCCTCCGCTGCTTACCTCCCCTCCGGCCGGGTCTAATTTATCTCCCTCACATTCCCCTTCTCCCCCTCCGCTCTTCCCCCGCGGTCCTCTGTAATATTTTCACTTGCGATTCCATTATACGGGCCATATACTTTGTGCGCGGTGCCCTGGTGTGGTCTCTCTACTCCTCGGTTTCCTCCCTCGCCCCTAGTCTTTTGACTCTTGCAAGCCTTTGCCGTGCTCTACCAGATTATTTATCCACAAGATGTTGATGCACACGCCAGTCAAGTTTTTTGGATTTGGGCGACAACTATCCCCCTCGAGACTTTCTTCGCCCTCTTTTGTGTCCGCGGTGCGGTGCAGCTGCGACGTGGGTTCGACTCGGTCCCACCTCATTCTCCGCACCCCTTTTCCTCGCTTTTGCATTTAAATGAGCAAGTTATTAGATTGGGGGATGCTGCCTGCTCTGCCCCTCTCCCTCGGTACTCCATGCGTGGCCGGGAGCCCTGGCGCCAGTGGGGTTCTTTTCTTTCTAAGTATTTCACTGTGGCGCCGTAATTGCTAAACGATCAAATAACGTTCTAGCTTCTGATACCCAATGTTCTAATTGTTGCAGACCATGCTTGACAAGGAAAAGAAACGCTTCCACGAGATGGCCGAGAAGGACAAGAAGCGGTACGACACTGAGATGCAGGACTACGTTCCTCCTGTTGGAGAGAAGCGTGGTAAGAAGAGGAAACAAATTAAGGACCCCAACGCGCCCAAGCGTTCATTGTAAGTGGCTCTCCTCTTTTTCTTTTGCAGTGCTGAAAACCGTCAAATCCTTTTCAATTTTTAATTATTTTTGCAGATCTGCTTTCTTCTGGTTCTGCAATGACGAGAGAGGAAAGGTTAAGGCAGCTAACCCTGAGATGACTGTAGGAGAGATCGCTAAGGAACTGGGAAGAAGGTGGTCTGATATCACCCCTGAGCTCAAGAATAAGTATGAGCAAATGGCAGAAAAGGACAAGGCCCGATATGAGAGGGTAAGTGTTTTGAATTGGTCTGCTCATCAGTCGTGTTAAATGATGCCCATCAGTATTTTAATCAAATGCTCGTTTTAGGACATGACCGCCTACAAGAAGAAACCCAAGGGTGGCATGCCCATGCCCAACCTTGGTCAGCCTAAAGCTGAAAGTGATGATGATGAAGATGATGACGATGACGGTGATGATGATGACGAATAGACGAATTCCAATTTAAAGTTGGTTTTCACTGAAGTCCCTGGTTAACACTGTTAAAGACATTTTGTATCTGTTTTTAAACTCTGAGGAGCTGTTTGAGCTTCATTTTTAAGTAGGAGCAGGAGTTGTCAGGGATAAGTGCATTATCACCTTTGTTCATCCTATCTTCTAAAGTTCTCCTCGGCTCTCCCACTATTTTCTGTGTAAATAGGAACAAGTGGAAGGGATGTGCGTTATTTGCACTTGCAGATATTGGAAGAGCAGTGCAAACTAAGCCCTTTCTTCATGTTCAGTTTTTATTTTGTCATAATCTTAATTACTATGCTAAGGTCGAAACTGTGTGTTGTGTGAATGAATGTGTGAAATCCATCTTTGTGTGTGTGAATGTGATTTTTATTTGAATTTTGTACATCTGAGAGCAAGCCACAAATTAACTTTTTTACTGGTTGAACTGATGACTACGGAATTTGAGTTGAGTGTGTGTTAAAAAGTTGTGGCTCACTTTATGGATTCCTGCCTCGGTTCACTCAACAGACAATTGCAATAAATTATTACTGAGATTTCTGTCTGTTTTGTGTATATTTTCTCAATATTGTACCTGCTAAGTAAAAGCTTTACTTTTTGTTTATACCCATCATCTTAATAGAATAAAGTCCCCATCAGAAAATGTAATAAAATGTAGAACATGTTAACCACATTGTAAATATACCAACTGTTGTTATGGCTGTGATGCCTTTTCTTTGCAGCTGATGGTGTATGTTACTTGTAAGGTTGTCCAAATATTTGTATTTATTAAATCATTGTTTTTACTGGAGGGACTTGTGTTACTGTCATTTTAATTTAAACATTCCTAGTTTCTGGTAAAAAATTTGTAATCTGATTGGACATACGATTAAAGATGGGTTTGAGTAAAGCTGTTAAATATTTTTCCAAGTAGGCAAGCACCAATACCCGGTTATTGTTTTCACTTAAGACAATTGATCATGACAACTTTTTCATGTATTGTTAGGAAACTTCTGAATGATGGCGGAAGAGTTCGTACTTATTAGGAATAAATAATAAAATTTCATTAGTTTTTCAATTTTTGTTTAATATCCCTCTTAACCTGTGATTGAATTCAGGAATTTTACGGGTCTTGTCAGATGTGTGACCTGGAACTACTCAGGTATAGAAGTAAAATAAAAAGTTGTTATTTTAGAATAACTTTAATTTTGTTTCAATGACAGTGAATCTTGGTCACAATCTCAAACCTTGTGGGCTACATGTGCACTAAACTTGTAAATTTAATGTGGCTAGTCATATTAATTGTGCAGAAAGAATGCAGCACCTGCCCGAATCCATAGCTGCTTATCTTGGTTGCATGGCACTCCAAGGCTTGCCAATAATGTGTGACGATCTGCAGTCCGGTACAAGGGGAGTTGCATTTTCAAGTCTTCATCAATCTTGGATTGCATTTGCTGTACACAATTACGTCACAATGAAATGCAAATTTACCACAAAAATACTGCATGAGGCTCAAACTCCAGCTTACCTGAGGAACCCAGGCGACATAAAGTGATGGGATCGCCATGGACGGTGGCGAGCTCTCAGTGCAGCTACTCAACTCCCTACCATTCCAAATTGCCCCCTCAAGCTGTATTCCAGAGAGTCGGACGTTGCGACCCCTTCCGATCGGTTCCGTCCAGTTGCAATCCAGGGTAAGCTGATCCAAAGGAGTTTGCAATTCGCGGGCCGTCTGCTGTTTTAGAGCACTAAGAAAAGTGTCCGGGTGGAGTAGATCGGCCAAATCGAGGGCATCTCTCCAGAACCGCTCCTCCAGGGCCTTGTCTCTCCAGCGCTGGAGAGCTACCGCCCTTGTTACCAAACCCCGTACGTAGTGCAGGGGACTCCCAGGACCATCCCATTGCGCTTGCCATGAGGAAGGGGTCTAAGAAAAAGAGAATGATTCAATTACTTCCTAACAAGCACCCTTCTGACGAAGCTTCAAGTACCTTAAAAACTATTTTGATCACCTCTTGGTTAATTAATGCTCCTGCTGTGGCTAAAGCATCTGAATTTGGTACTGACGTACCTCTTATGACTTTGCTTACAGCTGCCAAAGACTGGTGAACAAGTTGTACAAGCTCAACTGCCCTACGGAATTCAAGCATCACAAAAATTTCTAATGGACTCTTTGCCATACTATCTTTTTCAGTCATTTCCTTTGAGTCAAGCCGCAAATGAATCAAACCCGAATTTTGATTAATTTTTTTCCACAAGTTTAAAATTGGCGATAGTAGGCGTTGCCACTCCTCCTTGTCAAATTTTTGTTCTCCTTCCTTTGATCGTAAAAGCATTTTCAACTGATTCACAACTACAGTACTTGATGCTCTTTGCCATGACCGATCAACATTGTTTGGAAGGCCAAAGTAGGAAGGCTTGTCTTTTTCAGATAACTGCTGGATTATTTTACAGTGGTCATTGAAATCTGAAGTGTTGGGAACATGTATTCCTTCACTAATCAATTTCGAACCTTCATGTAAGACTGACTTGTTAAAGAACTGTTGCAAATAAGAAACAAGAACACAATTGTCATAAAAATTGTCAACTCTGCCACCATAAATGGCCTTTTCCATAAGTCCATGTATAAATTCCCACTGCACAGATTGAGAACCTAAAATCAGAACAAGAAATAATGTCATAATTTCAAAAATAATACGTCAATTTTTTTGAAGAACTTTTCTAGCAACACTAGATTTACCCTTTTTCTTGATTAAACTTTGAAGAATCAGGGTGCCGGCCTTTAAATCACCATCACTAAATTCATAATAGTTTGCCCATCCTTGAGGTATGAATGTTCGCCTTTCTTGGATAACAGCATGGAACCAGGCAAGAGCAAACAGTGATCGAGCAAACAAGCGATCAGTTCCATTGAACATTTGTGGCCCCCATGCAGCATAAGTTCGTTGCAGGTTTCGTTTCACTCCTGGAGGAGCCTGTAAGAAAAATTATTTCAACACATTCCAATTTTTTTTAATTTTTTTTATCAGTCCAAAGCTTACCTCATAAGTGATCTTTAAGCATGATTGAGCAACAATTGGAGAAAATCCTGGATGCGTCTCTGTGATGAGCCAGAGACGAAACTCTGGATGCAGTTGGGAAAGCAATGAGCGAAATTCTTTTTCCAGAGTCTCCAACCAAAGAGTAGCTAAGTGCAAATTTTTAATGCATAACCAATGGCCATCTTTTGCAGCTAAAGACAGGTTTTCTAGGACCTTTCCTTCTTGTCCCTGTCCCATTGCAATCTAGTACAACATTGCACAAAAAAGGTGAGTCATATTTTAGCTTTGTTGTTTCTACATATAAGTTTTTTAAAGTTCATACCTCATGATACCGTTGTTCCCCAACAGTTGAATAAGCCAGTGTTCGTAACTCTTCAGATGGATCTGCACCAGCTGAGGTTATTAACAGAATTGGCTCTGATGACAACAGCTCATTAAGAAGTTGAGAGAGACGAAGAGTAGGAGGAGAGAGATCCACAACACCTACGGATAAAATAATTCCAACAAATGAGGTAAGAAGCAGATTTATTACCCTACACATTTCATAGAATAATAAATTTTTCGCACCAAGGCTTGACAGTGCAAAGCTCATGAGTGCTGAATGTAAACGATCTGGGCGTAAAGTTTGCACCAGTAAAACTCTTTGAAATGGAGTGATTTTCCCAGACACATGTGTTGGAAGCATTTGCTCGCAATTTTCACTGAGCATAAAATTTTTCCAAGCATTTTCGTCTTCTAGTTTTAGATCAGCATAGAAGTCTGGCAGAGCATTCTGAAACAATGAATGAATTATTACACAGACATTTCGGTTCAATGTTTTAAATTTTTTTAAAACTTTTTGTTCTTACCTGAAGTAAAAACACTTCAAAAACCTTGTCCTCCTCCAGCCATTTAGGGACATTATCACTTAATTGTGAAGTGTCAACTTTTAAATCCACCAAGACTTGCCCTGTAAGTGCTTCCCATTCCTGTAATTATGAGAACAAGAAATTTATCTGAGAGGTTCCTATCAATAGGTAAACTGTGTGAAAATTCATTTTCTTCTTACATTGGTTTTAAAGTTATTGGGACACATTTTATTTGTGAGATGTAAAGCAAATGTAAGCCTGTCAGCTTTGAAAAGGGAGCGGCTGACATATTGGAAGGTTAACAGCAAAAGTCTTTGCTGTAAATTCTTTTGACGCTCTTCCATATTCTTTGTGTCCTGTATGTGAAATTAATTAAATTAATTTAGAGAGTAAGAAAATCACCAGAGAGAAAGCTGAAATTTAGATACTTTTATTAATATTTACCTCAGATGTCTTCAAAGCTTTCTCAAAGAGCCTCATAAAGGCAGTAATAGAGAGTTGATAAATAGAGCTTAGTTTTTCTAAATCGACAGTTGCAAAGTACAAAGAGCTACCAAAATCTGCAAGTGGCCTATATGCATCACATTCCTTTCTAAGCTCTGACTGCAAACGAGATGATTCTTCTAGAGACTCAGAAATTGCAGCACTTTTAGCTTTTGTTTCATTAAGAGAGGCTAACAGTTCCTGTGAACACAAAACCAAATTAATAATGTGATGGTGGATAATGAAATAAAAAAGGATCCTCCAGTATCCACAGACCTTATTCTGTAAAATATCTCCTTGCGCTTGGGCAAGCTGTTGCAGCAACCCATCTTGAAGAGTATGTAGTTGCGCTGAAAGTTCTTCTTCTTGTCGTAGAAGTTCCCCTCTACGCTTATCCAATTCAGGACGCTCAGCACACAGTGCACAAGCTAAAAGCTGTACACAGTGAAACTAATTAGATACTTGCTAGAAAAACAATTGAGAAAAATCCTTTTTTGATACAAACCTGACCAGAAAGCCCTGCTGGAGAGGTGATGAAATTTACAAGGGTGATTGATGAAAAGATATCAGGAGGGATATCGGGTGAGACATTTCTAGTTGTGAGGTAAAGTTGAAAATCAGGATTAAAATCAACCAGTTTCTCTCCAAGCTGTACAACCTTTCGAGGACCTGAAAAGCAACAATTCATCCTTAAAATAACATTCAGCAGTAAAAGTTTTGAAAACATTTAAATTCTGCAGTACCTTGATTGATGAAGTCGCCTCTTAAGACAGGATACAACAATGGATCTACTCGATCCACTTCTTGGACAATCAATACCTTTCCAAACCTACAAGCAAAATAATAGAAAATAGTAATGTACCCTTACTGTTTGAGCTAACAGATGTTCTTACAACTCGGAAAAGAAGTGCTCACTAAAATGATATTGTGCATACATAGAGGAACTAATAATTTCAATACAAAGTGGAGTGAATAGTTAGAAGAACAGTGCCTCTCCTCAAATCTACGAACAAACCTGATCGCCAATTCGAGAACAGTGGTAAACCTTTCACTATGTAATGCCACAACTTCAACCATTCGGCTAGCAAGATGTCTCTGCAGCCATTCAGATGCAGTGTAAGAAGGGTCCACCAGCAATGGTCGCATCATGGTCTACAAAATAAGTTAATCTTGCGATAAAATTTCTTTGCCCTTTAGAAATTGTCCTGGTTTTGCCCTATATCTAATCAGTCAATTCTACAGTAAAAGTATGCATCTGCAAAGGCACTCACCCCACACTCCAAAGAGGCAATCTAAACGCAAAGTATAAATAGATTTTCTTATTTTTCTCTAAAACTTGAACTATTAGAAGTAATTTTCTAGTCTATTTTACCTGCATTATGGTGACAGCATTCTGGATTGAGAGTTGATCAGATGGTAGTCCCTCAGCTTGCCACTGGAGCTGCTGTCTTTGAGAGGCTAAAAACTGAGCCAAATGAAAATTGGATATTCCAAACTTTTGTTGCCATTCCTCCAGACAAGACCTTTGGATAAAGTTAGTTCAAATTATTTAGAAATACATGAAATCAGTGGACCTTGTCTATGTTTGACAAAACTTACTTGCGAACATTTTCAGGTGATGATGAAAGATAGACTATACATGCTGCAGCAAGAAGAGAACTGACGGGAAGTTCACCCAAATTTGATGATATTTCAGTCAGCTAAAAGCAACAATATCATTACTAGAAATAAATTATAATGGTAATACATTATCCTAACAAACTGTATTTACCTACCATCGTTTTCCATCGTTTATATTCTTCATCCAATTTTAGCACCAGCCCTTCAGCAGAATCTATGGTTTCACGAGCTTTGCTCAAATGAATTTGAATCTGTGCTGCCTCTTGCGTGTAGCTATTGAGCTGCCCTTTGAGTTCAGCTACTGCCTGATCAACATCTGTTAGACCTGACCTCAACTTTCCTATTTGAGACTCAGCCTGTTGTAAATTTCTTGATGGAGAAATATTTATTAAGGTCTAAATTGCCAGAATTACAATTAAACAAAATATTTGTCAAATGCAACAACTGGAGATATTAAAATATACCAACTTTAGCAACTTTGCTTGCTCCTGCTCCAGAGGACGAATTTTTTCCAATACTCTGGAGTATTTGACATTTGCTGTCACCCATGCTGCTAAAGGAGCAGCCGCTACTGACGCGCGTTTGGCATTCTTGGGATCAAATGATTCCTTGCGATCTCTCAAGAGCTGCTCAACAGCAGCTCTGCTTTCCTCAGATATACTATGTGCATCAAAAGATCTGAAAATAAAATTAGTAATTAGTTAAGATACAAGTGACAATAGAAAAGTAAAGTATACACCACAGGTGCCTACTTTATATCTTCTTTTACTCCACGCTTAGCTAGAAAGATTTTCATACTGTTCCATGATGTGTCTAGTATACCCATCAGGCGAAGAACTCCTTCGAGAATGTCTCTAATGACATCAGGTGGGGCTCGTAAGGAACGGATTTCAGAGAGAGACTCAGTTTTAATATTACCAATTGCTGTCCGCGCCTCATTCACCAAGGGCTCGATTTCAACAAGCTCTTCTTCTATTTCTCTTTTCCTGTAAAAAACCATGAACAAATTGAATGCATGCATAACCTGATTGGTTAATTTATTTGGCAAATAATTACTAATTACCTTGCCATCAGGATCTGGTTTTCTTTCTCTGTGTGTTCCTTTAATGACTCCATTTCAGTTTTTTGAGTATTTGCACTTCGCATGGTATCAGTAATCATTTCCAAAGCATTGTTTGCAGCAGCTTGCTTTTCAGCCAACAGCTCCTCTTGCACATTAGCTTCTGATTTGAGTTTGGCTACCACTTGCTTAGCTTCAGTCAGTTTAGATACGCCAGCCTGGTAAAAAATTATAGAGTTTAAGTAACTTGTGAATGTTGATTTATATAATGGATTGGTAGACAACTAATTACCTGCAACTTTTCTTGTCTCTGGTGGATGTCAAGGCTAGATGTGATGTAGATGTGAAGGAATGTGCGCACAAAAAGAATGTATCGCAATGGGGTCCTTTGTTGGTTACTCGCAGCTTGATGAATATACAAGAACCCTTTGAGTAAAGACTCCTCTTGGCTCAATTTTTGAGAAATTAGATTCTGAATCTTTTCTTTGGTTCTCATTTCACTTTGAATTTGCACTGATTTATCATCTCTAAAAGAAGTTTTTTGGGGGAAATAAGAAATTTATACAGGTGGTAAAAAGAGAACTGTGCAAAAATAAATATTTTTACCTTTGAAGCAGCATCTGGGGTATACATTGCATACTTTTACTGCTCCAGTCAGACCACCACATTACAGAGCACTGTTTGTATAATGCTGGGTTGCTCTCACAAAGGGTAGTGAAGGTAGATCGTGAAAAGTCCAGAACCAAAACAATGTGAAGGTTTTGAAGAACTCCTAAAGTAAGAAAAAGTAATATTACAACCGTTTACTTAAGAGAAAGAGCCCCTTTTTAAGAACTCACTAACTTACTATCAGAGAAGAAAGTTAACAAGGATCCCTGAAAGTCTTCTTGGGCAGCCAGGTTGCGAAGAGGAGTCACAACCGACTCCAATTCTTCTGGTTGATAAAGACCAGGAACCTACAAGATAAAAAAGACGATTTAGTCTCCTTAAAATAAACCTTTAAGATTTACTTTATGAAGATAACACATTCCCACCTCTCCTGATGAAAGTAAGCTATTGACCATATCAAGAAAACCGCTAGCAACATCTCCCAGCTGATAATCTTCTAGCAGCAGAGTCACCTGTTCTCCATCAATGCCAGCAGCTTGCATAGCCTAGCCATGGGAAAAATTAAAAAGTTTTAGAGGGGGAAAAGAACCTTTTTGAAGGAGAATAAATAATGTGAACAGTTACCTGTTTTAAATCAACTTTGAAACTGTTCAAAGTGTAATTTCGACCAACTTTTGGAGACAAAAGTTTGTTGCCATGTGTAGCAGATGCAATACGAACAGATGATTTACGCCCAACTCCGCTCCTCCCTGCTAAAAGAAGTGAGCCCCTTGGTGCAGAAAGCACCCTATCAACACAAGCTACTTGCTGAAGTAGCTCAGGTAATATAAGCAGATCCAAAGCTAAGCCTTCGCGACCTTTACAGAGAAATGACAGTGTTACAGAGATACTTATATAGCAAGAAGTAATCAGGAAAATAAGTAAGAATAACTGACCGAATATGTTCATTCCATTCTTAACCATTGCAGTCCAGTCATCCGCATTAACTTGACATAACAATCTGCCGTGTGTGGTTTTGCTTGGTCCTACAGCTCCTTGACCCAGTGTGACAAAGTAAGTTCCTTTAACACAAGAAATAACATAATACATCTCACCAGTTCTATCTTTTAAAAAGAAGAGAAAGAAAGTTAGGAAAGTATATATGCTTTACCACAAAGCTGATCTAAAAGAACAGACTTGTTCCAATCACTGTCCAGAACAGCAGAGACTATATCATGAAATTTGGCTTTGTCAGACTCTGATACAAGTTTATCAGAGAAAATACGCATAGCTTCATGAACAGTGACCTGGAAAAAGAAAAATTATATCTTATACTTTTGAAAAGAGAAAAAAAGATTAAAGATCGCAATTTAGAAAAATATGATTGATTGTGAAACACAACCTTTAATACGGGAACAACAGATGTGTCAGAAGGCTGCAAATCATAGCGTAAAAGACCTAAACACCATTGTGTTAAATCCCTGGGTGTAAACAAATAGTGATTTTGTTTCATGGGAGTAAAAGTAGAGCACACCTAATACAAAAAATAATAATAATAGCAGATCTTAATTCAGAAACAGAAAAATTAAGTGAAAAATATTTTAAAGTTTTAACCAAAGTCAAGTCACCTCTGAATAGATGTGAATTAGTGAATTCACAAGTGTTGCTACTTTACTTGATGCAGACCACACAGGGTGTGAAGGTACACATTGTTTAAATATTGCTTTCATGTAAAGATTATAGATGGATTTTAATTCATCTGTATCTGGGAGCCTAAGGATATTAAATTATTAGTGCTCATATATTTATTTATTGGCAAAGAGGCAGTTGAATGCAATAGAAATCATACCCAATGGAGTAAACATGTACTATTGAAGTGAATCTCGTGGAAAGTGCATTGCGGCCTATTCCTCCTGTCATACTACCAACAATTAGAACCCTCTCCAAACCCACCCACTCCAAATCAGAATCATAAAAGCCATGATATGTTATCAACTGCAAACAAAATACAATTATTATATGAAAGAACGTAAATTATAATAAATGATCTATGTCATGTTAGCCCATACCTGCTGTAAAAATGCGATAAGCATGCTTGAGCCCCATTTGTCAGGTTTTGCCAGGTTTATGTCTTTGAAATACAGAATAAGTCTTTCAGCATTTCTTGGGCGGTACAATCGACCTGTGTTACTTGAAATTACCATACACACCTGAAAGTGAACAGTAGATACCGTAAGATGAGTAACTGATCGAAGAGCTAAACATTTAAACATTTCTTACCTGATTTATTCTCTGCAAAACATGTTGAGGAGTAATTTGTGCACTACAATGGATTGTGGCAACCTCAACACCTCTTAGTTGTTGGAAACATTCATTCAGTATGTAACTTATAACAAAGGGAACAAACATAGAAAGTGAAAAGCCTGGACAACAGATGCTATAATAAAATATATGAGATTGAAAGTTCATAGGAGTACCTTTTGCCACATCCAGGAGGCCCCACTAAAATAAAAGGTTCTAAACGCTCTTGTTGAAGCCAAACAGACAGGATACTAAGAGTTAATTTGACATTAGCTGTGAGTACCAAGGGGAGAGATTGAGCAGTAACTCCAATATCAGATGCTCCTTCCATTGTGTAAGTCTCCAATCTTCCCCTTTCAGAACTGTAGCAACAGTTCAGGATGTTGGTAGGATCTAAGGGGTATTCACCAAACCACTCAAAGACCTACAGAATAAAAATTGTGAGGAAGAGTCTTTCTCAAAATCAATTTTGAGTGATCTGGGATTGACCGGTAAAATACTTACTTGTTTAGCAAACAACTCTCTGTTAGAAATCATGAGGTTAGAGCCAAGACCTCTAATTAATGACACCATAAACTGGGGAGCATTTTCGACTCCTACTAAATGAGATAAACTAGTTTTCACACGTGATACTACAGAATTTTGTAAAGTAGATTCACCTTGCGTCAGAACCCATTTCAAAGCTGAAAAAAAAATCAAAGAAAAAACTTAAAAGCATCTGCTTTAAGCAACAGATAAAAAATAATTAAACAACTGACTAATTTAATTTGCTTACCTTTATGGAAATAATCTTCAATAAGTTGAGCGAGAACTGTTTGACATTTTTCAGGCTGATGAGTCAACCACATTGATATCAAGCCTTTGATATCTATGTCTTCATCACTTTGAAAAAAAAAAAAAAAAGATTTTATTCTCAACCCAACGTTTAAGAAAGATTTTTAAGAGAACAGTTCAAAGTTTTGACTCTTGACAATACCTGAGTAAAATCATGCCCATGCGAGATATTGTTGCTGGTGAAGCATAACTTAAGTCATGAGTTTCAAAAATAAAGTTAACATTTGGTCCAAATTGTATGCGCCAACCAGAGGGTAAAGTAAGTAGCCTGTTATCGTCCAGCACAGAATTTAGTGATTCAATCCATTCAGGATCAACATCACCATCACAAACAATCCATGAATGAATTTCTATTTTTCATTTTTATTTTTATTTAAAAAGAAAGCATTATTTATGAGGAAAAGTAGTTTATATACAAAATTGGACAGTTAATTAAAAACATACCAGCTGGTTCAGAATACACTCTTTGAGCACTTATTGTTAAAACTCCATCCACCCATTGACGAGTATCTAAATCAATGTGACCAAGTAATTGTGATCGTGGCATTGCTTTGGGGTTTACTGTGTGCTGATGAATTATCTGACCGAGTTGACCCAGAGCCTATATCAAAAAATACAACTCTACATCATGTGCTCAGCCTTATCAACATTTATTATATAGTACAAACACCTTTCACAATACTTACATGTTTTAAAAGCCGACATAAAGTCGTCTTTCCTGATCCTGCAGGGCCCACAACTACCACTCCCATTCGCTGATTTAGCTGTTCATATAGCTCAATACACTTTTGTTCCTGTAAAAAAATAATTTTAAAATACTGTCCTTTTTCTCTTATGAATGAAAATATTATTAAACAGGAGTTTGATTATCACACCTGTCTTTTATTATATTGGAGACCAAGAGCTAAAAAACTTTCTTTAAGAACTGTGGCTAACTTTTCATGCCCAGAGCTCACAAACTTTATACCTGGAAATACATCCTGAACTAAAGCATCGAACACTACACAGTCTCTGAACAAGAGCTTTGATAGAGTGTTGAGCCGTAATGCCTGTACAGCAAGTTCCATCTCTGTTTCTCTAGATAGAACAACATCACTTCTTACATCAGCATTGCTATATATGCTCCACCAATTTCGGAGCATACTTCCACAACCTCCAAGGACTGTTTTCAGCGCTCGCAAACCCCAATCATAGTGTTTCTGAGGAGTCAAAAGTTTCCTAGAAGCGTGATTGAGAAAAATGTATGAAACAATTGTTTATTTTGTTTTAGATGTAGATTGTGACATGGCTGCAACATACTTGGAAAGATCAAAGACCTCAACCAATTTTTTCCCAATTGACTTGGCATTTTTGAAACCCTCACAATATAGGATAACTTCAGCAATAAGCTCATTGTCTGGCTTTGACATGACAACAGGTCTAAACAATTGCTTTAAGTTATCTGGTAGTTTTTGTCTTCCTCCATAACCTTTTCCTGCTGGGTTCAAAGTCACAAATATACCAGCGTTCAGGTCAAGTTGGACCTAAAAAAGTAAAGCAGCATGAAAAATCCCTTAATTGTTAAGCATATATTTGACACATTCCAAACTATGTCTACCTCCTGATCCAAAATTGTAACTTTGGGATGACGATTCTTAATGGCACTTTGAATAGGATGAATTTGCATTGATATAGCTGATAAAGTGGCTTCTTCTAGTCGATTAAACTCATCAAAGCATCCCCAAGCCCCACATTTGACAAGTCCAACAAAGATTCGGCTCATGGACACTACATCTATGCCTTCATCACAATTGAAAACCAAAACTTGCCTGCCAAGAAGTGAACCAAGTGCCTTGACAGACTCTGTTTTGCCAGTGCCAGCTGGTCCATAAGGATTGCCACCGAGGCCCATTTGCATACCCTGGAGACACATGGAATGTGTTAAACAACATTCTGATTTTTAGATAGATTATATTATTCAGACATGCAAAGAGATAGAGAGACTGGAAAGAGTACCTGAGTTAGAGTGAGGAAACACTTGTCGGTTAATGGAGTATGAACTAATTTTGGCGAATTGCCGAGGTATTCATAGGTATAGGTGAATTGAGCATCCACCATTTTTATGAGAACATGATTGTCCTTCCCCATGTAAAATCTGTATAATAGAAAACAAATACCTGAAACTAGTTCAAGGCTAAAAGATTGATTTAAAGATCAGCACACACCTTAGTTGTTGCTGCCAAGACCAATCTTCAAGACTGGATGTGTTGGATTCTATAAGATCTTCAACAACATGGACATGATGAACTATATCTATCAGAAGAGCTTTCTGTTTTAACTCAAGAATACGCCCTTCATCGTCATTTCCCTCACTAAAGCCTGACAACTCAACATTGGCATACACATCTTGTTGAGCCTACAAAAAGAGTGAAAATTCCATTTACATAGGACAAATCACACCAAAATACTAAAGATACAATTCTATTATATAACATTTGACAACTATTTTAGATTATAAATTAATTATCACCTTGATTGATTGTAATAGTGAATGTAATGTGCCCTTTAGGATTGCTTCTTCACATTGAGCAGTAAATATTATGCTCTGAGACAGGCACAAAACTTGTGATGGGAAGTGGAGGGGATCTGGACCTCCACTAGAATTTTTGTTAGACTTAACACACTCTACTGTAAGATGGTGTAAAGTTTTACGCATTTCAGAACATAATTTCTGCAGCCAAACCTGAAATTTATTCCTTCTTTTAGCATAAAATCAAATGGATTAGTAATTTATGATCGAAAATAGAATAGGTACCTCAACTGGAACAGTGATGTCAACTGGGTTGGTGAGAGGTACCATTTCTCCATCCAGAGACTTCATACCAATGATACATAATGCATCATTTTCCCCTGTGCCATCAAAAACAACAGAGTTAATGCCAGCAAATAGCTTCTTAAGATGAGCTTGTATGACATTTTGTTTGCGTGATTGTCCCAGTATTTCCAATAAATCTTCATCTCCAACGAAGTAGAAACGAGGAAAACTAGATCGCTTCTCCTGCAAGTACAGTGCATATAAATGACAGGGTGGGAAGGTCAAAACAATCACTAGAGTGAATTTGAATTACAAAGACATGAACCTCCAGGTATTCATTCAAGCTCTTCTGACAACGATTGAGCTGATCCAGAACAGTTGTCAGTATATGGTGTAAATTACTGATTCTGCACAAAGCAGTAACTTTGCTGTCATTTCCAACACAGCCCATGACATAGCGAAAGTCTCGGTCCAGGCGATCAAATCTAGCTCCATCCACAGCTACAGCTCCCCCACCAAAGATTGGCTCAAGATAAACCCATCTAGAAATAATGTGAAATTTAAAATAGAAATATTCATTGAACAGCACAACATGTACGGCATGAGAACGAAAACCTACTTTCGCTGAATTTGATTCAGATTGCGTAGAAAATAATCAATGTCAGCAAGTCTTGCCTCCCACACAGCTACTCTGTCATTAAAACTATCATAGTTAGAGGAGTTTTTGATAGATTGTAGTAAACTTTGGTTATCTCCAACCTGTAAAAGTAATATTATTATAAAGTATTTTGGTTCTAGAACCCAGGAGCTATTACAAAACAAAAAATGTTGGGTGCTAGCACAATAGAGCAAGATTTCTTTTCTTCAAAACTGTACCTTATTCAGAATATCCTGGAAGTCCTTGATAAGCATGACAGTGGAACCTCTCGAATCTCGATGGGCAACAAGTTGAAACCGGGCTTCAACTTCCCAAATGTCAAGTTCTGTTAAGGCTTGGCGGATAACAATTTCACTAGATGCCCGATTATTGAGATCCTGGAAATTATTTTCGATGTAATTCAAAAATAAAAGGAAATTCAAAGTGAAAAATGACATATATAGGTAATGTAAGTGTACAGTACTTGCAAAGCTTGTGCTTGAGAAATGATATTTTCTTTAGCAGATAGAAAGTCTCCAAACACCAAACCTTCAACAGGCTTTGATGGAATACTCAAAATTCCGAGCATCTCAATCCAGTGTTTATCACTGAACATGTCACCCCTCACTAACTTTAATAAGGGTACAACTGCCTATTTTAATAAAATTAAATATCTGATAAATTATTGTTCTTTTACACAATGGTTGTTAATATAAATGACTTTTTCAAAGTTTCAAACCTTGTATTTTTCAACATCTTGCAAGAGACGAACAGTGAGACTTGTCTTTTCTGGGCTGGACTTGAGGCGTACCTCCCAAACATTCAATAATTCCTCAAAACGATAAATCTTGCTACGAAAAATTATCCATTCCTCCTTTGCCATAGTTTCAATGCCTAAAAAAGGCCATAACGGGAACCAATTGAGATAGAGTAACATACAAGACGATTTCTATGACTACAATAGTACAGCATGAAAAATAATTTTACCAGAGTTAAATTCCTCAAACAATGACCAGATATTTTCATGATATAGTAAGTCTTCTTCAACTTTCTGAAGAACTAGAAACTCAGGGATGGGCAAGCTGAAAAGCTTACAGTCATCACTATATAAGAAAGAAAGAAAAAGCACATAAATTACACCATCACCGAGAACCCTTTTTTTCTATTGTTATTGCTTCCTAAAATTAAGCTTACACCATTTTCTCTTTACGCTTCAAGATTTCATTCCATTCCTGGCGCTTTTCTTGCAAAAATGTAAGACTTTGAGTTAATAGCTGTGGTCCTCCATCCATCAAACTTGTTTCCTTTGGTTTTAATTGTTCCCATCTCAAACCAAAATTCTCCACTTCCTCTTCAAAACTGTCTACTTGACTTTTGATTGTGTTTTTAATCCCTTCTACCTAGACATGGGAAGAAGAAGAAAAAAAGATAGAGGAGTTGTAAATGGGAATATAGTTTATAGGAACTGTCACAACATTCACCTGTTGATCTAAAAAGACCTGATGGTTGTTCAAAAGCGTCTGGAAATTGTCCCAGCTTCGAGTCACTCGAACAACTTGTTCCACCCTCTCCTTGGTCCAACTAGCAAGGGTTTTATTTTTTTGTAGTATTTCCTCTAAAGAGACGATCATCTAATTTCAAAAAATTACATACTTAGTTAGCCTCTTTGTATTGTAGTTAGGAATGTTTCTTTCTTCTTTCTTACCTGTGAGGATTTGTTAAATATTTCAGTGTAAGTAGCTTTGGCTTCCCCAATTTCATCAACAGAACGAGGCTGCTTAGATAGAGCCTCTGTTGAATCATTGATAAACTTTTCAACTGCAGCCACTTCACTAAAAATTGAGGCTTGAAGAGAACTTGTTAATGTGTCCCAATAATGTCGATTCTGAAGATCAATTTCTGCTCTCACAGGCGCTAGGGAAATGCTGAAGCACTCCAATTTTTCATCAGAACTGAAAAAAAAAAGTTGAGTTAGTTTTCTTTGCTTGAAAGATGATGAAAGTAGAATTTGGATTCAAACCATACCTTGGCAGCTTGGCAATTTGTTGACCCCAATTTTTAGATGCTTTAAAATTGTTGTCCCAATCTTGCCAACTATGCAGGTGCTGCTCAACTAGTTGCTGCAAGGGAGCTGCCCCGAGAGCCACCCAAGGTATCCACCTTTCTCTTAATGCTTCAAGTCTTTCAAAAAGTTCCTCTGCCTTGGCAAATACATCAGAAAAATGATGAGCATTTCTGTATCAGAAAAAAAAATTAACATTTATTTCTAATTCATGTTTTATTTATAAATACTGTACTTGGTTGTGAAATGCAATTAGAAACCTATACCTTTCAATCATCACAGTAAAGATAGAGCTTTCTCCAGTTTCTGAGACTCCCCTAAACACATTTGGAATGTTAAGGTAACGCTTTAATTGTCCGTAGTACTTCATTCGTATCTCTTCTAAGGGTGGCCGAAATTGTAGAATTTGCTGCCTGCCAACAATAAATTGTGAAAATGTTGGAGACATTACAACCTCTAACAACCAAGACATAAAAAAGGACAAACAGATAGATAACACACCGATAAACAAGTTCTACTTGTATTTCACTAAGATGTTGATTCAAGTTCTCCAGACCCGATTGATACTGGAACTCAAGAGCCTTGTACAATTGATGGTCCCAGTGAAGACGCCATGAGCGCATATTGCTGAACTGTTACAGAATTTGTGAAGAATTAGTATAATATTTGATAGTAGATAGAAAATTGTAGAATAGTGACATGATTAATAAGAAGTGACCTCCTGTTCCACTTGAGCCATTATTCCTCTGATTTCTTTTAAAATCTCTTTCCATGACTGTTGCTGCCTAATAAGGTCAGTGTCAAGAAGAGAAACAACCTGAGCACAAAATTCTTTTCATAAGTAAATTGAAAAAAAGCTTCCATACAATAGGTGTGAGTCAATTACCTTAGAAGATATTTGTGCGTGGTATGAAGCTAGTTTGTTATTCTCTCTACCAAGTTTCTGAACTACAGTTTGAAGCTTATTAATGTATGCATCTACTGCCACAGTGTTAGTCCATGTAACTCCAGACTGTTCTTGAACAAGACGTGCTAGTTCCAATGCTGTGGCAAGCATCATTGGTCGTTGTGATGTTATCATTCGATCCCCTATGGTGTTGTGAAAATTTGCCACCTTGAAAAACGAAATGAGAGCTCAGTACAACAACCGAGATAGTATCTGAGGAGTACAATTCTAACAGACACGATACCTGTTGCAAGGACTTTGCTTGACGCATGAACTGCTTAGCAAGATCAGCTGCCTCCATAATGGCAACTGGAATTTTGTAATCAAGAAGAGAAAGATGACGGACCTCCCGAATTAGGCCCACTAATTCTGGATTGTAATTGACATGCATGAGTTTGCCTTGTTCAAAGTGAACAACAGGTTCATCAGTTCGCAGGCTCAACCTTTTGGATGACACTGCAGCTCTTGTATCATCAAGCCAAGCATCCCACTGCTTACTTCGATACTCTTGTACATCTTTGCTCAGGGACGTCAATGATCTTTGGAGATCTGTGAAAGCACTTAAATCACTTAATATCTTAAAACTTGCCTTTTCAATTTCGTTCAGCTGGAGCAAGAAAGCAATTGAATACATTAGGGCTTCACCTTGTAAGAAAAATAGTCCATAGCTAGAAGTAAATACCTTATATTCTAGTTGCCGGGCCCAATAAATATTGCTCACAATAGGAGGCAAGTCCAATATCTCACTACTCTTTGGACCTGTCCTAAAACTAGAAGTTGTACTGTGAACATACTCTAAAAGTAAGCTGAGAAGATTTTCTCTTTCTGGAACCAATGTTCTCTTCACATTATCAAGTTGAATTAGCTCTTGGTATCGCTTGAACTCTTGAAGCAACTGAAAACACAGATAGATAGAGGTACACAACCAGATAAAATGTAACAAACAAATAAATTTGGAAAGACAACTACCTGTAATGTGTTGGCATTAACACTTCGAAGCTGGATCTTTAACTTTGATGCAACCCTTTCTTCAGTTGGATGCAAACTTTGCTGAAACTGATGAACAGCTGCTCTCCATAAAGGTTCAGTATATGGATTAACCTGAAAATTTGACAAAATAGGTACTTTTGCTATACTACCCTCAAAAACCAAATCAAGGAAGGACATTTCAATGGCTTGCTTACAAGGAGTGGACTTAGTCCTTGTAAAGGCAGGAAAGTTCTATTAGTATTCAACTCATCCTGCTCCTGTCTTGAAAGCAATCTTGTCAATTGGCGATGGAGAGTCCGTATTTCTTGGACTTCTACCAAGCGTTTAGAGAAAGCTTGAATGTGCTGAGGAATATACGGGTTTCCACTCCATGCATGCAGTGAATAGTTAGGCCAAAACAGGGAAGTTAGTTTCTTGCACGTATCAATCCACTTTTCACAAGCAGCAACACTCTGTAGAGGTATAAGATAATTAAATAAACAATAAAGGAGCTACATCCAATAACTTTATGTCACTCAAAATACTGATAACACAACTTGATTCTTACTTGGTCCAAGCTTTCCTCTACAATGTTGAAAGGTGCTTCCCACAAATCAATATCTTTCAGTTTGGTCTGTATGAATTGAGTAATAGAATTTCCTAGAAAAAGGAAAGATTGGTTTAAAACATATGTAAATAAGAATATATTTGTGCCTGAATCCAAACTGAACCAACCAATGACTTCCATTAAGTTCTCCATTCTCTTTTGAGGATATCGAAATTCATCTAGTTTCCAAATATCATCCAAAGCATTGTGTGCTGTTTCTAAACTTTCCTCTAAAGATGTTAATGTGTCTGTAGACCTGTTTGGAAGAGATTCATCTATTAAGAGAAAAACCCTTTAACTTTTAAGAAATTTGAAAAATACTTACTGAAGGTCTTGAACAAGCGGCTGAAGAGCACTAAAAAAGGCTGATGCCTTAATTGAATCTTTTCCTTTATTTGAGGATTGAGCCAATGTAGCCCAGTACTTTAACTCATCTTCTGGAGTGATAATGACTGAAATAAAGTATTCCCAATGATATAGTAAATATTTTATAAAGGATTCAAATGACAATTTTTTTTTTTTTTGAAAACTTTAACTACCAGTCACATTGGGTTCATCACCCTTTCCTCCATCATTGTGATTTTTCTTATTTAATGAGGAACGAAGACTAGCTTCCAGCTGACTTAAAAGTTGTTGAAGTGTAGGATCAATGTGGTCAGATTGCAAATTCTGGAAACAATTTCATACTTTACCAAAGTCGAAAACCATATGCTGGAACTCCAAATAACTCTTACACAATAGTCCCTTGAATACACCATACCTTCAAAAGAACTGGGGCATATAGCTTCTGTAATGAATGATAGAGGACCGACACAGGAGAGTCAAGCATTGATGACACAAGAATGTTACTGTGCATATTTTGAGGGGTCACAACATCTGGTCGTAGTTTAAAGAACACCAGTGTTGCCCCATCCCCTGAAGACACCTGAAGTACAAAATGAATGGATAAATCATAGGGAAAGCATTAGAAATACAATAAAGAATACTTAATTTTATGACAGACTTACCACATCACTGAAACTGAAACTGTGCCCAGACAATTTAACGTTCAACGTTAAACAGTGTCTATCATCTAGGAATTTGTTTAGATTGACATCGGCACCCAAAGTAACAATTTCAGAGTCTGACAATGGTTTGTCGAAATAGTTTCCTGGAAAGAAAAAAGATTCAGTATAGTTATAGCTAAGTTGTTCTAGCAAAAATAGCTACTTTCACAGTTTCTCACCTGATGTTGTAAGGATAAATATTTTCCTGGCGTCGGTAGACATTTCCTTGGCCGGTTTGTTTTAGGGAGGTATACAGTATTGAATGAATGACACTAGCTTCAATCATGAAATTATGAAACTCCTGTCAGATGAAAATTAAATGTTTTCTCAAAGAACATGCGCATCTCTTTCATTACGGAAAAATCACGTAGTTTAAAAATCGATCACTAGCCCGTCAATCGGTCTAGGTTATGTTTTGATAAAAGTGTTGTTATGGTAACCCAAAGGCTCGCAGAAATCTAGTAGGCAGAGGGAAAGCGGGAGAGTTTAAATGGAAACGCACAATTAGGCTTTGGCCTTCAATAGTTTTTCTGGAACTTTGGAAAAGATAGCTACATTGAAGACATACGGGAGTTTTCTTCCTTCTGAATCCAATAAATCTTTTGGGGCTATTTCGAAACGATTATTTGGAATATTGGAATATTGAAGCCTGTTGCATCGTTCCTGTTTGAGTCAACTTCGAAACAAAAACAACAAAAAGTCTAAGGTTAAGATGGTTGTTTATGCTCGTTATGATGCATTATTACGTTTACGAAAACTTTGCTTATCGTACTTCAATGGAAAACCATTTGGAATCTTTCATGCAAAAATTTTCCGGGACGTCGTTTTTTTTAACAGATGTTGAACACCCTGGTTCTGATTGGCGGCAAAATTGATTGAGTGAAACAGAAATTTGGAACGAGATTTAGTTTTACTCATTACCATTTATATTTTGCAGTTTCTGACACTGTGCATGGATGTCAATACACGCTTTTATACTGAAGTTGAACATTAAGCTTATATTCTAGTATCGCTCGAATTGCCTCAAATAATGAAACACTTTACCCCACCCCCCCTTTCCCCCTCCGCCGCATAGTGACTGACGGGCCGACCGTGTAAACATGGAACGCTGAAGTGTTTTGGGGTTAAATGTTGTCTCTTTTCGTCTTGTTTGTGTTTATGGTATTTCTTTCCCAATTGGAGGCTCTCTATGAATTCAGACAGCTGGAATAAGTACCGATAGCTGTCTATGGTGCCCTCAATTCAAAATGCTACCATCATTGGGTTTATTCTCATCACTGGAATGCCCTTTTTACAACGGAGGTGCAGGGCAGTGTTCTCGCCCCTATTGTCATTACAGACATGCCAAAAAAGGTAATGAAAACGACTCACTTTACTTATCGAAATTATTTTCAATAATGAGATGTTCTTTGAAGAGTACATTGTGACTTCTTCCGCACTGTCAATCATTTCCCCCACTTATATGTTATTTCATTGAAATTATTAGTTGCTGTCATTAGTACACCATTGGGAACTTCTTTCTCTATTCTGAACCTGGTCTTCCCTTGGATTATTTGTCTTTGAGAGTTGACAGTTAAACTTCACCTCAGTGTCACTTTTCCTAACCTTAAACATTTTTCAAAGTTTATTACTGTTATTTGTTTGAGTGTTATGACGTGTTTTGTTTGTTGCAGATCCCAATGCTGCTGCTGAGCCAAGCGATGAGATTGTGGGTCAAATACCCACCAATGAAGTACTGCAGGTGACGAACAGAACTAAATACCTAATACGTCTATTGCTACTCATATTTCTCTTGTCAATTTCTGAAATATTGTATTTTTCCCATACCTCTGTACTGCTCTAAATGTAAATCACTGCTTAACGAAACCTTTTTATTTCCTTGCAGGCGGAAGATGATGTCAAGGCTGGTACAAGCAGCGAACCTGTCCACAAGAGCAGATCCTCTTTGTACAAGGCTATTGTTGATGCAGCACCAGCATACAGCCCAACTCCAATTGCTCAGTTGAAATCTTCCCATATACCAATACCTTATACTCCAACGTAAGTTCTGTGACCTTCATTTCTCTACATTCTGCTATTTTAGAAGTCACTTATTCTGCTTTTTTCTCCCTTAGCATTCCTACAAGAAGTTCCGCGGTAAAGAAAAGCAAACCTAGTTCAGAATATGTACCACATTACATAGGTACAAGTCGTCCAACCTATCCTCCGTACTGCCCATCATCCATTAGCAGCCTAAATTCTCAAAGTAATACTCCTGGTGATCCTCTCAAAAACCCACTCTATGAATTATATGGACCTGAAGGTGCACAATACAGTCCTAATGATGTTGATCCTGTTGGAACTGGCTACTCGTATTCCCCTGGAAGTACCTCTTATACTCCATATTCACCAGAATATGTACCTTCTAAAGTAAACTACAACCCCCAGTTTAGTCCCCCAGATTCTCAATTATCAGATGATGATGACAATGTAGACTTAGCTGCAGAGACTGCTGCTCAAACAAATGGAGACCCAGGGGGTGGAGAGAACCTCATAGACCTCTCTGAACTTGACAACCTCGAGTTGGAGTTCGAAGATGATTTAGATAATGGAAATGATACAATTATGAGTGAAATTGATGTGAAATCTGGTGGTGACAAAGAACTATCACTTGAATCAAATGTTATGGACACTGATAGTCCAGTGGAAGGTGCACAGAATCAAAGAAAAAGTAGTTCCTCTCAGAAAGCAGAAAAGCGCAGGAGTAGTACCACCAGTTCTGCCAGTGATTCAAAGAAACATAAGTCTTCTCATGAAAGTACAGATAAAATCAAAAGTGAAACAAGTAAGGATAAAGCTCATCAAAGCAGTAGTGATAAAAATGGACACAAGGATAAGAAAACATCCTCATCGTCAAAGAAAAGTTTGAGCTCCAGCAGCAGCAGTAACAGTAAAAAGAATAGCAGTCACAGCAGTAGTAGTAAAAGTTCATCATCATCATTATCAAAGTCATCAAAAACCTCTTCAAGCACTGATGTGAAAAAAGGTCATTCATCATCAGATTCAAAAAGCAAAACTGGATCCTCAACTTCAAGCAGTTCCAGTTCTAAGCATAAGGAGAAACATCGTGACAAAGAAAGATCCAAAGAAAAGGAAAAAGATAGGACCCATGGAAAAACTAAGGATAAAGAGAAGGATAAAGATAGAGAAAGAATCAAGGACAAAAACAGTAAGAAATCTTCACGTCGAGCATCTGATGATAAAGGTTAGTAATGCAAGCCAATGGAACTATTTGAATGCTGGCAATAACATTAGTAAATATAAATTTATTATTTTTAGACAAGGGAGACATTCAGCGAGAAAAAATTGAGGAAGAGATCAGAAAGCTTGAAGTTGAATTAGATGCTTCACTTGAAGATGAGGACACAATAGAACAACAATGTTATGAGATGTTCAATGAATATTCAGAGTCATTGCAAAATCAGCCGCTCCCTGAGAAAACAGAGGATCAAAGAGTAACTGTTAATGAAGAACCGGTTGCTTCTGCCTCAAGTAAAAAGAGAATAGCGCACCAAGCATCTCAATCTTATTTACAACCAAATCCTCAACCTGTTCCTACCCTGGCTAAAAAGTGTTCTCCATATCAGGTTATTAAATTTGTAAATTAATTTAATCTTTTACTCTTCTACTTTTGTAACTATAGCAATGTTACATTTGTATTTCGTTGTATAGGTCATGAGAGATAGATGGGAATTACTGAAAAAGGAAAAATTGCAGACTCTTGAAGCTAAAAGAGCCTCTTTAGCAGTTGCTCCTCCATTAGTTCCAAAAGCTGTTGCACCTACGCCATATTCCTTAACTAATGCTCCACAAGCATCCTTGCCTGGTTCAGGCTCAGTGTCAGGTATCCACCCTCTGAAAATTATTTGATAAAGGTTGGATGAGTATCAAACATTTGAGGATGTATGGAACTTTTGCTAACCATTTTTTTTTCCCCCAGGTAAAAAGAGAATTGCTGGTGTACCAAATGTTGCCATGCTTCTTAAACCACCAGCCACATCCACAAGTTCATCTTCTACTTCAGGAACTTCTCCAAATCGATTTTATAACAAGACAGCTCAGCGTGTCGATGAATTTGGACGCCTCGTTAAAGTTCGGGTGGCTCATGCACCAAACATGGTGATAAGTACAAGAGGCACTAATTAATGTTAAATTTCACATACCCATCACAACCCTTGTAACAGTTGATTCTAAATTTAGGACACACCGGCCATGAGAAAACCAGTTGTCAATCCCAGTGACTGCCGTAAATTCAAAGTGGCAACAAGACAGGCTAATGTGAACAAACTTTTCCAAGCATATATTGATGCTAGATTTGGTGATGCATCGCATGATATGGCTTTAGAGTCAGAAAGAAATAGCACTCAAGGAACTGAAAGCCTGGGGGTGTACAGCCACCGGATCATTCAGATACTGAAAGATCTCAGAGCATGTGCTGAAACATCTCAAAATGGGCCAAAAAGTAAGGATATTTTTTATTTTAAGAATTGTTTTTAATCTGAAATTGGTTTGTATTATTTTGATTAATAATTTCAGTGGACGGTATGTCTGGAATACCCAATCGAGTTGTTTCTCACAATGCCATGCTCGCTGGAAAGCTGGGAGCTAAAGTGTCATGGAGTATTCAAACTGGAAAGAAAGAAGATCAACCCAAACCAAGTACAGAATCTAAAAAAAAACTAGTCCTTTTTGGTTTGTAGTTTTTACCCATTTTGTTTTCTAATGAATTGTTAACATTTGTGTCTGTAGATTTAAGTTTATATGAACAACTTCAAAGTTATGTCTTAACTAAAGAGAAATTACAAGAAAATGGCTTCCCCATGCCTTGTGGAGAGAAAGGATGTGCCTCCATTAAGCCAAGTTCATACCGAACTGTTACTCAGCCATCTGATCCTAGACAGAAAATTTGTGTGCGTTGTCTTAAGCCTTATGCAGTAAATAAACGAGGGGAGCAAGTTAAAGACGAGGAGTGCTTTTTCCACTGGGGTAGAAAATATAAACGTAAGTACTGGTTATTCTGTCTGTTATATTTTGATGTTATAAATCTATTGAAGTCTTATTGTGCATACCTTCTCTCCATGGTCAATAAAAGGTTATCGTGAAGTGGAAACAAAATACTCCTGCTGTGATAGTGCTGGGAGTGGATGCTCAGTGTCACCCTACCATGTATTTGAACAAGATTGGGAGAAGTCCACCGGATACATGTCCACTATATCGAAACCTTGGATGGAGTCTGATCCAGGAGTGTATGCCCTTGATTGTGAAATGTGTTATACCACTGGAGGGTTGGAACTCACTAGAGTTACAGTCATCAGAGATGACTTGACTGTTGCTTATGAAACTCTTGTTAAACCAGGTCATAAGATCCTTGATTACAATACAAGGTATGTTTTTTTCCCTTCAGCATATTTTTGTTTGTAAATTTCATTTATTGGTGGATATTATTTTAAACATACATTTATGGACTCACAGGTACAGTGGTATTACTGAAGAAGATCTAAAAGACGTAACAACAAATATATTACAGGTACAAGCAACACTCCTAGGAATGTTCTGTGATAAAACAATTCTTATTGGTCATAGTTTAGAATCCGACATGAAAGCATTAAAGGTAATTTTTGATTGACCCGTGCTTTTGCAATTTCATTTATCTTTTAAAGAATTTGTTGAACATTATTTATTGTTTTTTTAAGTTAATACACCCAACTGTAGTGGATACAAGTGTGGTTTTTCCACACAAAATGGGACCCCCTCAAAAAAGAGCTCTTCGAAATCTTGCTGCAGATTACTTAAAAAAAATTATTCAAAACGATGGTATGTTTTTGTGTTTGATATGGAGTCTTGTAGAATTAAGTAACTTTGCTTTTTGTAACCAATAATTCATTCTCTTTTGCAGTGGGTGGTCATGACAGTAAGGAAGATGCTGTGGCTGCACTTGAGCTCATGCTGTGGAAGCTGAAAGAGGATGAGAAGACAAGATAGTGTAAGACTTGATTTTTATTTGTTGTCCTTTCTCAGCTTTATTTTTCTGCCAAGAATGTAGGTACATGGAGAGCTCATAACCTCCGTCAGACGAAGATCTCTTCTATATTCTTGTCAGTATTAGGTTTCTTTTGTTTATTTTTAAAATCTTTGGCTGTGTTGCTGAGAAACATATAGATTCCCCCGGGAATTGTTTTTAAAGAAAATGTTTGTCTGTTTGAGTTTCTTCTAGAGTTGAAGTATTTGGTCGTCAGATCATGGCAGGGGATGCCTCATACTACTCTGTGAGTAATGGTATGATTTGAACTTCTGGTGTTCGTGCCGAAAAGTTTTGTTTTGCCTTCTTTTGTTGGAATGGCTGTTGACATTCATCACCATGTTGCCCAACTTTGCTTAATGTGGCGACATTAGGATATTTGAGTGTAAGCACTTCATATTTTACTGAGTTGTTGCATTGTTTCAATTTTTGTCACCACATGCTTGTAGAAAGTCAAAAATTCCTATCTTTTTTTTCTGCTTTAACCGGAAGAGACTCTTTACACTAAGCAATATGTACTTTCAATGAAGACTGAGTAACTGTATTTTCCAGTTAAAATTAAGTTGTTAGCCAAATTAATTTATGAATATTTTTTCATGCTAGTTTCTAATTTTAAGAATATTTCAAATTTTCTATGTACCTCTCTGGGGTAAAGTTCACTAATTTTTGTTTCTGTCGAAATCAATTCCCAGAAATTGTTCAATTAGTGTAGTTTTCTATACTGGAAAGAAACTCTGTAAATAATTCATATACTTGCATACAGAATATACCAATCTATAGTATTCACTTTTGTATATTTTTGATGCAAGTTGTGTTTTTTACTGTTCTTGTTGATGCATCTGACAACCAATTTAATATCTTGTCCGGAGGTGCATGATATGATTTAATTGTGATATTAAGTTTATGATGATGTATGCAGGCTTTTCTCTTGCACTACTTCAAAAGTTTGGTGCAAGAGTTAAAGTCACCACTATACAATTTTCTATACTAGATTTATAATACAATCAACCTACCTCATAATTTATGTTTCGGTTCAAGGGGTCCAAAGCTGGAAACTTTCTCTTGTTCTAATAGATTTTCTTCAGACCTAACTAATGTTCTGTTTAGAAAGTGTGAAAAGAAATTCAGATGTGTTCATCTCATTCTAAAATTAACATTAACATCCACATTGTGTTCATTTTTGTTTGTTAATAGTTCAGATCCACTGGCTTCTCTGTGGTAGCCTACCTGTATTACAAATCAACCATCAATTTTCTAATCCTTTCTGAAGGATTTGTACTATATTTGTGTACAACCTACTTGTGTATTCCCAGTGGGGTAGTTACCCAAGTGCTCATTTTGAGTCCGCTGTGCTTTTCCTGGGTATAACCGTTTTCTTAACGATTTTAAGTAATTGGAAACAGGGGTGTGTATTTTACAATAAAATACCAAAAACAGATGCATTGTTTTGCCTCCTTTCCGCCCAGTTCCGTCTCAACGCCCGATTTGAAAGGCACACAATGCTGCCAAGTTTGGCAATCGAGTTCGTCGTCTCCCACCTCAACCGATACCGGGATTTGCGACGCCGCGATTTCCGATTTAGAGTGTGGCCGATAACGACTTCGCTCGCGCTGCTCGAAGAGGAAAAAAGCTGGTCCTTAGCGACGCTTTTTCTGTCCCAAACTCGTGATCATGTTGCTCCCCCAGAATAGTGAAAGTGAAGTAATTTGATGTTAAGGGGAGTCGTTTTGACTCTCTGATCTTTCTTCCTTTCATTCTTTGGATCATACGGGATGGCCACTGGTCATTATTCCCCGTTGGGGGAATATGCACGGATGCCGACGGATGCGGATGGGGTTTGCGCGTCGTGTGCAGCCATGGCGCGAATAGGCAACCCGCCCGCACTTCAGCATGCGGGCTGGTATACATTTGCTCCAACCCAACGGGACAGTATCAAACCGCATCCTCGCGAGAGTAACCGCACCAGTTGCCTTCTTTGGACTTCCCTCGTTGTTTGAAGGTTGGGAGGCTAGCTTTAAGAAGCAGCCTGAGAGATAGGCAATGGGCCATAGAAAGCCCGCGTCCTGCTCGGGCGATGCAGCAGGCGCTGCCTGTAGCAGCTCGGCGGCACCGCAAGCGCGACTCGATGCGTTTGCTCCACTTTCCATACCAAGTAGTGGAGTGCGCGCCGACCAAAAAAAATGAGGAGGCGTGACTTTGACACGATTCAATTAATAGAAGCCTCTCTTATCGCGACTCGCCAAATCAGAGCTTGTCAAATCGAATCAGAACCAGCGCGGCTTGCCTGACAGGCGTTGTGTGCCACTGTAATCAAATGATTCACATGTGGTGGGAGGGGAGTTGAGGAGGGGTGAAAGGAAGGGCTACATAAATGTACGAAGAATGACGGAGAGAGAGAGAGCAGGAATTAGAATCGGTGGAGAGGGGAGGAGAGGAAAAAAAAACGCTACCCATCGAGTTTGTTGCCACAAGTCTCAGTTAATTTTATTTTAGACGGTGAAATGTGTCACATTTTGAAGAGTGTAAAAACCGTTTACGGCTGTATTAAGGGGCTCATACTGGTGTCGGCACTTCATCGCTGGTCATTCGGCGAGCAGAAGAGGCATTGTTCTTCTGCTCGAGTGACAAGAGAGGGTTACTCGTCAACGCCAACGAAGTGCCTAACGAGAACTGGCACCTACTATCGTTACAAAAAATGTAGTGAGAAAATAATAGAAAACCGGAATGCTTCTGTTCTGCTTATAGACAGTCTTCAAGATTGTCCCTACCAGAAGGAAAACTGCCGTCTCTCCTCGCGCCTTTTCCTTTCATGTTTTGGGTGTAAAGGAGCCAGAGAGGAAGCTGTTTGTGGATTGGTTTGTATTTGTTGCCCTTTGCTTCGGCCATCACCAGGCCATCACCAACTAGGGATAAACCAGGTGGCTGATTCACGCCGCGCACTTCTGTAGTTATGCTGTACCGCATGCACGAGTGCGCGGGCGGGTCGCCTTCTTGCTCGGCTCCTAACGCGCCGTGGACAGAGGCGATAGGCAAGCCCGTCCGCACTTGTGCGTGCGGTACAGTATACCCACAGAAGTGCGCGGCGTGAGTCAGCCACCTGGTATAGACTACACCAGGTGGCTGACTCACGCCGCATGCACGTGTGGTGGGCGGGTCGCCTACTCGCACGGGGCCGCCAGCCGTAAGGCGCCGTGGGCAGCGAGGATAGGCAAACCCGCCAGCACCCGTGCATACAATACAGAATAACTACGAAAGTGCGCGGCGTTGGCGGCGTGAGTCAGTCACCTGGCACAGCATCTCTGACAACCGACTGTAGACAAATACTGTAAATTCTCCACGGGGGCGACTTGCTCCTGCGGGTCAACTGCCGCTGCCGCCTTTGTTGGTCGTGTTACTGTGCTGCCCATAGCCCACAGTGGCTGTTTTCGAGCCGTTTGCACCGAGTCAACACGGGGCAGCAGGGGCAGCAGGCAGGCGGCGCTGGATGTCACGCCATGGTCTTCTAGAACTCACTCGCTGCAAACAGAGATAGATATGGGTTTGATAGAAAGTAGACACGCCGGCAGCGCCGTAAGAAAGTGTGAATGTACGTTAAGCTGAAAAGTGCGCCCAGCCGAAGTGCAGGAGTGTGCGCATCTGGGCTCCTCTCCCACACGGACACACACTTTTCCCCATACTGCTTCCGGGACCTGCAAGTGCGGCAGATTGGCCCAAAGTAGTTGCGCTGTTCATTCACCCGAAATAGACGGCCGCGACGGGGGGCGCCCAAAGTGGAACATACCTGATAGCGAGGGACGACAGAGATGACACGCCGAGAGTTTGCCCAGCAGCAGGCAGGTCGGCGCGAAGCTTCTCGCGCACGTCTAGAGAGACGCCCCCGTCTCCCGCTCTCTGCTGTTGACCGAAGGGGAAGTTTGCCTCAAAGTTGCAAATCAGGATACATACCGCGCGTTATCTATTTCTTCAGAATGGCGGGCGCGGCTCTGAAGGGTCGCGCCAGGCCAGCCTTCTCAGGTGGTGGAAGTTGGAACCTCACCGGCTGTTGTTCTATGTAAACAGGCTGTGTACAGCAACAGCGCGGCGGGGAAACTTTACAATCGACAGTCGGGAGGCGTGGGAACAAAAGTCTCGCCAATTTGGATACACCTGGGCCGGAAAACAAGTTCTGGTAATAAGCTCATTTTTTTCCCCCACGTTTCTCATTAAGAAACGTGTATTTTTTAAAAATTGTATTTTACGTTAAAGCGATTTGACCTTTTTGACCCAGCTGCGGAGGGCAGGACGCGAAGCCAACGAGAGGATAAAGGCCCGGCCGCGCTGAAACAAGGGCCTAAGTCGGAAAGGCCGCGCGCGCCGGAAGTGCAGAGAAAGGACCGCGCGGGGACAAAGGGGAGAGAGGGCGCCTCGATAGGATAATCACTGCCATCTGGCGGGGCATTCAAAACGCGCGCTTTCACATATTTGGGTAAGGGGTTCCAGCGCGGTGGACGGCGGGGGGTGCAATGTGAGCGGGAGAGTGGGAGAGTGGGCGAGCTGTCCCGAGCTGTCCGTGTTGTGTCGAGGGAGGGGACGGGGAGGAGAGACGGGGGAGAGGGGACGGGGCGCTCGCCGCTGTTTAGCGACCTCGGCCCGGGGCCGCTAGTGAGAAGCGTGCGGGATTTTCCGAGAAACCCGAGTGAGCGTTCTCTCCCCATCCGGCCCAATACCATATACCCAATATACTAGTGGCGGCGCCGGGCGGCGCGTGCGTGGGCGGACGGGTCGGAGTTCGCGTGAGTGCGAGAGAGAGGGAGAGAGAGACAGAGACGAATGACTGCGGTTTCCAGATCTCCCGCAGTTGGAGCTTTGTTTCTGAGACTCTCTTTTCCCGCAGTTGTGGTGAAACCGTTTCACCTATTGCAGAGCGGCACTGGTGTAAGCACCGCTTCTCGCCCACCCCCACCCTCGCGCCTTGACGCACCTGTCAGGCTCACCCGACACAGCAATGACGTCAAACAATCAACCCCATGCATGGTTCATGGGTTATGATGAGTCGTTCCCGTGCATTCAACTCCTCCCTCCCTCTCCCTTCTCCTGCCCCTCTCCTCCGCTGTTTCGCCCCCTGTTATCTTGCGGGATGCCCCGCGACCCCCTTTCCCTCCCTCCCGCTCCCT